AGTAGTCTGTGTTTTCAAGCCACTTGTCATTAAATCGGCATTTTCCCATTTCGTGCAACCAAGAAGGCCACGATAGCTAGCAAAGATGCAGCACACTCTTCTTCTTCTGCGGGTCTGCAGCAGACTCATTGCGTCACATGATCTAAACGACGGGGCGAGATTTAGATCATTCCGTGCTTACCAGAAATTTTCGCGAGCACATTTAAGACCTGTCTGATCTGAATTTAAGACAATTTAATACTTTTTAAGGCCTTAAATTTGAAAAAATTTATTTAAGACTTTTTAAGGACCCGCGGTCACCCTGTATTATGTAGTTTAAAATTGTATAGTTTCCTCAAATGATATACTGGGGGGGACAATTCCCCATTTTTCCAAAGAAGCTGGGGTCCAGACCCCCCGTCCCCCCGGGATTTCCGCCAATGCTCGTTTGCAAATGGAGGTCCAAGAATACCAGTGCCTGGTAGCCTGCCGTATAATCTAATCAGTGTGAGTTACAATAGAGTTTTTGTTCTAATGAAAATGACCTTTGTTTCTTTGAAGTTTGAAACTCTACATCTGCACAACATATGGGCCATTAAGATTCTCACAGGTATTGTTATTCAGCTTAAACCCCCAAACAAATAAATCCCAATAGTGATTCATGCAGTATCAGACTGTACCTCAAAAAGAGCAGCTGACATCAGGAAGACCACTAACTCTGCCCGCGACGGGGGAACATTCTTTTCCACCAGCCGTGTGTATACATGTCTTCACACAAGTGAAGACACAAAACAAAGACAAATAAGCGATGGAAGCAAAAGTTAGGTGAAATAATCTGTTATTCATGTCATCTGAGTGAAACTTGAGGCATGCTTCAGCTTTAAATATGATAATACCTGTGACACCATTTCTGAAAGGGAATATTCCAGTTCTCCCAGAAATTGATCAGAGTTGTAGCATTCCTGTAAATGAAAGATGAAAGGCAGTGAGCCAGTGCTGAATGTGCAACAACACAATGTGCATTAATAGTTTTTGTGTTTGTTTGTTTGTTTGTGCAACTGACCACCAATCTCCATAAAAATGACGATCACCAAAGCGCATCAGTTCTGCCAGGAAATTCAGGTAGGAGTGACACAGGAAGAAGAAGAGGAGCCACAAGAAATGGGTTGGTGCCTGACAAGGAAAAACAAAACAAAACAATACCATTATACCATTTCACAATCTCAGCTCTCTCTGTCTCTCTTATTGAGTCATGAACGGCAGTATACAACTTTTATCTCTAATAATCTTGCCTAAACATACTCCTTCTCCCACTCTTCATCCTCGTCATCATCACCAACATCTGGGACCACTTGACTTTACTTTACAAGATCACACACTGGAATCTTACATGTGGTCAGGGCTTTAAAGTTCTGGGAAATCCAGACAGATGTATCAAGAGTCAATAAAATATGATGTTAAAATAAATAAAAATCACTCACCACCAGTCCCACCAGGTGCTCCACTCTCATAGTGATATCCATACTCTATGTACAAGAATAAAAAAGTGAATTCCACAGGTGTGTTTGTTCTAATAGTCACAATAAAAATAGATTCTGTTTGACTCACAGAAAAGGAGTTCTCTGACCTCTGGAAGATGGGCTCAATCCACTTAAAGGAAAAACAGACTCAGTCACAGTGCAGTAATGATATTCAGTGTGAATGTACATAGTTAACACCTTCAGAAACAAGACTAAGAATCCACAGATTGTGGCTCTATAAAGAAGGACTTTGCATGCAAAGATGCTCCCCTTAACAATGCTAACATACTGATATTTAGCAGGCAAATGTTAACCACCTGCACCATCTTAGTTTAGCATGTTAGCATGCTTACATTTGCTAATTAATACAATAACACGTACAGCTGAGACTGATGGAAGTGTCACTATTCATGCAGGTATTTGGTCATAACCCAAAGTAGGCTATTGAACAAACTATCAATCCATTTGATAGCTGTTAAGACATTTCACTTTAAACCACAGATGTGAACGTCATGGTGATGCCAGAGGAAACGTCAGTGAATCAGCAATGTCATTAGGATTCATCCTCTGGGAACCATGAATAGCATGGTTAACCTTGCAAAAATACATTTATTTGCAATGTTTTGGTGCTCGACCTTCATTAGGCAAAAATAAATAAATATTTGAAAATGCTTGAAAAAGGTTTACAAATCAAATTTGGCAAATAAATGTGTCTGCAGGGTTGTCAGTGTGCAACTTTTGATGTCCTTGTCCCTCTCCTACGCACCTGACTCATAAGATAGATAAAGTATTTCTCTTCTGTAAAAAATGTTGTGCGAACCCATCCAAGAGAGGTTGAGGTAATGATCAGTAAAACATCTTGAAGTACTGGTGACACTAAAGGAACAGTGGGATCACCAAAGTCATTTGATTTCAACCCATAAACACCTTGAATATCTGTACCAAACTGCATGGTGATTCATAAAAGCCAAGTGCTTTCCATGGGCAAAAACCCAAACCAAAGCAAAACATGAGAATGACATTTATAAACAATAGGTAAGAATAAAATGAGATTTTAATTTTAAATTAGATTAAATCAAATAAAATACATGAAATGAAATACAAACAGACCAGAGACACTGTTTCAGTGCTGTAATAAATTGTAAGCTGCCTCCAGTGCAACAAAGGTAATAAAAGTGCAGCAGAGAAACAAATCAAACCAAAGGCAGAGGAGAAAAGCAGAGTTTTCACTTAGATTTGAAAGTGGCTATGGGTGAGATCAACATGCAGTTTGTTCTATCTGTGTGCAGCATCACAGCTAAAAGCAGCTTCACACTGTTTGTTCATGTCACCAGCTGACTGCTTCCTAAAGATCTAAGGACCCTGCTGAGTTTATATTCTTCAAGAAGATCAGAAATGTATTTCAGCCCAACATTATTGAGGCTATAAAGTTTCCAGATAGGTACATAGTAACATACACACACAGATAAGTACACAGTAATATACTGTACAGTACAGGAGGACCTTTAACCAGCTGCTGTACCTGCTGCACAATTCCGACCATGATCTGGATAACGATCACCTAAAAGCAGAAAATGCAATTAAGAAGCTGCAGTGTTTCCATCCATGAGACCTACATTATCTCTGGACATCAATTATATCTGGGAAGGCTCATTACAAGTAGATCCACTGCATCAGTCACAGGTCATGCTGAAACTGTTTTTTGCCCACACCAAGTAAATATAACCTCTTTAAAGTTGCTAAGTATATGAATTATGACTCATTAACACCTACTGACGTAAATATGGAAATTATAAGAAACTGGTTTAATCTTATGCAATCAATTTGTGACAAAACAGTTTTCTACCTGCACAACTATCCCCAACATTTTATACCAATGTAGGACTGTGAGTTCATTATTTCAGCAGTCTGTTAATTATGGAAGATTTAAAATGCATATATAACAAACAAACTGGGAAAGAAATATGGTAAAATATAACACACATTGTCACTGTGTTTGTATTTCCAAGGTATACATGACAATTATTTAACTTTTTGTCTTTAATAACTGAAATAATTGAAAGCAACATAGATCTGACACCACTAAATACCAAAAGCACTGTCATTATTTTTCATGAAGAGGTTTTAGAGGCTAGCTGTATTGTTTTTTGTTTGCTTGTTAGTTAGTTTGTTTTTAAACTAGAGACACATTGTCCATGGCAAAATGAAAGCTAAATAACTGTCCAGTCACAGCAAAAGGATGAATCCCTAAAGCTAAGTTAAAAATTGTTCTTTCAACATGTGTTTTTCATTTAATTATTAATAGTATATGCATAGATAAAAGAAAACACAACACGTATTTCACTTTATTTCTTTTGTTTGTTTTGTTTTTACTTAGGCATTTTGACTTCCACAGTGAATGCCGTATTAGGCCTGATGGATAACGATAGATGACTGCTGCAGTATTATAAACAGGACGAGCAAAAATTGCTGTATTATGATTTTTTTTAAATTTTATTTTGGAGACAAGGTCCAAAAAAGGTCGTTATGTGTCTCATTCTCTAAAACGGCATCAAACCCTCAGTGATAATGGTGCCATTGTTCAGCTCACCATTTCCAGCAGCCTGTGCAGTAGCTTATTGATGCGGACCTTAGGAGTACAGGGGAAGTCTCTCTGGTAGCACAGTGTGGGGGCAAAAAGGAAATAATACAGATCTGAGAAACCAAAGACAGAGTCACAGGGGACAAAATGTATCATTACAAGTTCATGTAAAGAAATCAAGTATCATATTAAGAATGATGAGCAGTTTCACCTCGGAAAGTAAGCTGCTCATTGAAGGCTTTTGGTGCCACAGGGTGATCTTTATCCCTCTCTGAAGACACACAGACATAAAGAGCTGTTAGTTGTTGGATTATTAAATTATGTTTTTGTTCTGAATGAAATCTGCACAACTTCTGGTGTTGGAAAAATACCTGCATCAGTTAAATGGGCCTGTCTGTACCAGCGATTAGTTTCCTGGTATGAATACAGCTTCATCCCAAGAGCAGTGTAGAACCAGAGAGAGAAGAACGCTCCACCTGGTGGACAAAATACACAGAAACATTCATGCAGTGATGCAACATTATATAGAGCACACTGGGCAAAACATCAGAAAATAATTTTAGATATCAAACTAAACTTGAGTTGTGTTAAGGCTTTGAAATAACCGTGCCTAGAAGCTTAAAAAGGTGTCTGATTTGCTTTTCAGTTCATGAGTATAGGTACATTTTTTGCAGCAGAAACAAGCAGAAAAACTGACATCCATTAGCTGTTGATAATATTAAAGTTTGAGTATTTTTTTGAAATTGCTGTCACTGCATCATACATGTGCAGAAATTATGAAATGATGATGATAATGCACATACATATAGTTGTTACCTGTTGATATTGTATGCTCATGTACAATGACTGCAGCAGGAAATAACAGGAGCAAACCCAGATTTATGAGATGTAAACGATGACTGGTGGTGGGGGACAGCATACCCTGATGGGAATAAATGGAATAGAAGTGCTGATGTTTGCCGGGACAATTATTTTGAGTTGAAAAATTGCTGATGTTGGTTGTTGATGCATTTTCTAAACCAGGATAGACATGATCAAAATAAGAGAAACAAAGAAAATGCAACAGTGTCACCTTTTCCTGAGACCTCTCGAGGAGCAAAGCCACAATGGCAAACATGTTGGCAGCTGAAAAAAAAGAAATATATATATTTTGTTCATTCACAATGGCAGGGCAAGCGTGTTGTGTTTACTATTTTATACTGCAGAAATTCCACCACAGAGCTCACATCAAATTCTGTCTGCAGACCTTGAGGAGTGGCTACTACTCCATGTATGTGTCAAGCCTTTAGTGTCTCCATGAAAGAGCCACATAACATCTGATAAATTGCCTCAAGTGATGTCATTTGGGTCAGCGCTGGTTGGGTCTCAAGACGACAAGTTTAAAAATTTAAAGAAAAATTGAGGGTGTGGAGTTAGAAAGACATGAGCTCACCAGACCTCTGCAGTGCACTGCTCATCTCTGCTGTAGGCTACTAGCTTAGAGCTACATTAGTGATGGCAAAGCAGTTCTTTAGATGTTACTGAATCACTAGAATCAGTTCATTAAAAAGAATCGTTCAAAAGATTCGTTCCCCCGAATCGTTCAGTGCTTGGCGGGAGGAGCACTGACTGTGTACTGCGTAGTCCGACTCACTGAACTGATACACGGCTGAGCTGCTGCTGCGCCTGCCTTGCACTGGTGAGTCTCCTTACTGGCCAGCCTAACGTTTTAAGTTTGTTTATCTAAGAAACTAAGTCTGTTAAAACAACAGGGAGGTGTGTGATTGTGTTCATGTGGCTTGAGTCCTGGCTACATTAGCCGTTAGCTTGGAGAAATATAAAAGTGTATAGCTGACAAGAAATGATTTAAATCACTCAGGGATTGGGGTTACGTCGTTCACCGAGTGATTCAATCACCGAGTGATTTGTCACGCGGTAGGCAGTCCCTCCTTGTACCCTGACTGCCTCGCGAGTGATTAATCGTTTGCACAGACCAAATCGGCAGTTCCACTCCCGGCCTACACACTCGCTGCTGAGCTCAACTGAACTGAGAAATAAACAAATCAGTTCCGGAAGTGATTCAGTTCAGTACGTTCACTCAACAGATTTGTTCTTTTGAATGATTCGTTCACGAACCACACAACACTAAGCTACATTAGGTGCTACTTCCACAGCACATCTAAACGCCAGATCAAAACTGTATAGCTGCACTGTGTGTAATGAAGGTGGCAAGTTTTTACAAAAAAGAGGAATGTGTGCAGTAAAAAGAATGACGTCTCTAGTTCTGCTGAATTGTTTTTGAAAGACAGCAATGTTAAACCAGCGAAGCACTCTTAACTAAAAGTTGATCTCATGTAATTTTGGCCATTGGTATTTTTGCTACAATTCTATCTTAAAGATTTCCTCACCTAATATAAGGTTGACAGATGGCCAGTTGCAGTTGTCCTCAATGAGATGCTCCAAAACCTTTTTGACATCTATCAAAAAGCCATGTCTGTTTAGAGGAGGAAAACAAAGGACAATGTCATAAAAACTGGACATTTACATAGCACTTTTCTAGTCTTAGTGACCACTCAATGCGCTTTCCAACATAATCACCAGGCACCCACTGTTAAGCTGCTCATTAGGTAAACATTCACATGCACTCAAACACCAATTGCTCCCATCATTACACTCAGTATATTGCCCAAGGACACTTCAGGGCCCAGAGATCAAATCACAGACCATCCACCTGATAGATGACTGCTTTACATCCTGAACCACAGCCACCCATGGCGTTATGTACAAATGAGGACTGTGGCTGACAGCTCCAGTATGTTATAATACGATTTAGTAATGTATCAAAAATCTAATTCCAAGTAGAAAATGTACAGTAGGTATAAAATGTATATATGCACAGTTGAATCTGTATACTCACTGTATGAAATTCTCCAATAACAAGTGAGCATGAGACAGGACCTGAAAATCAGAATGACACACATAAAGAAAGGCAGTTACTCATGCTATGCTTGGTGACTCGATCAAAAGGGAAGCGATCAGAAGAACACTGACCAGGAGAATGATGATCCAGTTGAGGACGCCTCTGTATCCAGTGAAGCTGCTGTTGGAGCTCAGTAATGAGTCTTGGACACGATGACAACTGGACAAAGAGACTTGTTTTAGTCATCATCGTGTGTGAAGCTTATTTTTCACTAGTTATGTTTTTAACTGTCCCCTTGCCAGTTCTCTTTGTGGCTGCACCTTTAATCACCTGCTGTGATCAGGTATCACCCCTGTAGGTGGACGTTTACTACTTCCTTCACTATTCAAGTCTTGTTTCTGTCGCTTTGACACCTGTGAACAAGTGATGGAGACAGCAGAGGAAGCTTACCAGAGCAGAGCTGCGTAGGGATGTTCTTGTTCACTGGATGGATCAGTAGCAGAAATGGGAACACTGTCATAGAGGCTTGCATTGTCTTCTTCAGTCGAGGAAGAGGAGCAGACGGAGGAAAACCTCTTTCTCATCGCAGCCATCTCTGAGTCTGAGGGCTCATCAGCCACAGAGGGAAGCTCAGAGACGGTTGAATTCACTTCAGGAAAAACAGAAATGAGTTCATCATATCATGCTGTGAAATACAAGATCCTTATCACTTATCACCTTATCCACCAGACCATTAACGTGACATATTAAGATAATGGCCCATGCTGTCGCCTCCTTTGTTTGAGAGAGATCAAAAATCACAACATTTTTTTCTTTCAATCTGTGTCAGGTAAATCTTCTGGTCACAAATACCTTCTGCCATGACAGGTCAAAGCTTTGAGGCAGAGATTTGTTAAAATTTTCTATAGTTTTTCATTTTTATATGATGTGTAATCTCTATAAACAGATATCTGCATGTGTATGTGTATGTCTGAGATTTTAGGATGTGTAAACAATATCATCATGGAAACTGTGACCTATGGTGTCTATGACTGGGATCAGAGACGTATAGAGCATTTACATGCAAGCTGCATCTTCATAAACCCACATATTGTCAGCTACATCCTGTTCTCTCACACGGAGAGGAACTCCAACCAAACTGTTTTAGCAAAATGTCCGTTTATGGTTGTTTTCCTTTTTTACAGAGGTACACATCTCACAAAACACAATTTCAGACTTTATCTGAGCTTCAAGTTCCATTGGGTTAATTCGGCACTCGTACTATACAATAATATGCCATAAATTAAATAAAAAAACCATCCCTTCCTTTGGGTGGGTCAGATATTCCAGTGACCTCCTTCCCACGAATTCACCAAGGAGGGTGGCATCTTGTTACATTATAATCCCAACAGTGGGGGTGTTTATTGACTATTTTTAACGCTGCTTCAACAAATATGAAAACCCATATTGTGTGATTTCAATGTTTCATGTTACATCTGCTGCCAATGAAAACTAAAATTGCCAGAAATATGAACGCAACTCGGCGTGACCTTATCTGACGACAGAGAGCGGCTACACGTTACCTTGTCATCCTCCGCAAAGACACAGCATCTTCCCTGGAAGGTCGAGTCGAACGAGACGACATCCCAAAACATGCACAGTATATTAGCCTTCAGTCTGGATAAACCTGCACACACACAGGGCTACGTTGACCTCCGCTAACATCTGGGATGTGCTCAGTGTCGCATGTGAAGCCTATCAGAATAAAAATATCGCGTCTTCTCAGAACATTCAAAATAAAAGCCCCCTGTAAGAGAATTAGCCCTTGTGCACAACCAAAATAAAAGCTTCACAACACCATATTGTTTTTTTGTGATTCATGTTTTTATTTTACTTCATCTATTTGTAGATCACTTTTAATTGGAATCTAATTTTCGTGTTTTATGGTATTGTGGCAGATGCATCCATCCATCTGACAAAAAAAAGCGACAAAAAATAGAGAAACAAAATAGAAGAAAATTCAAAATATATGGAGGTTCTTTACAAACTACAGTAACCGCTTTTTTATCAACTCTGAAGTTTGGCATTGTACAGATATGATAGAACATGTCTATGATAATTAGCATATAGAAATATTATTTGTACTGCTGTTTTTCTGTAGTTAAGCCCCTCAGGCATAATTATATAGCACTGTAAAATTGTAGAAATTAAGACTTGTGACTAATAAATGAATGTCATTTTCTCTTTTGCAAATCACTTTCAATACTACACCCACTGATTGTCATCTTTTTCTTCCTTGCAAGGGAGGGTTTTTTTTTTTGTTGTTTTTATTAATTCCCTGACTTTATTTTGAAGGGCTAGTTTTTTTTTAAATTATCATTTCCAGGTGTTTGAACGTTTGTATTTTAAAACACAAACTAAATATTCAACCCATTGAGATATTACAATAAAGACACTCTTAAAAAAATGGATCACAAAGTTTCCAAAGGCAGATTTATTTAAAAAGTAACATTTAACAAAATAATAATCTAACAGTGTAAGTGTCACACTTCCAACCGGAAAACCAAATTTACATCATTCTGAGACAAAATCCCTTCGAGACACTAACCTTGCATTGCATGGTTTAACACACACACATACAGCTTAGGTTACAATCACTGCAGGGAGCTGAAATCATTTCAAGAACACACATCCAGGTAAACAGTCATTTTGTACATGGAAGTCTCACAGTAATTATGTTGGTTTCAAATGATGAAACATTTAACATAATAGTTTTTACAACTTCTTCCATAAACCGTAATTGTGACCTAAACAATGCTCAGTCAGCCCTCTGGTTATTACAAAGCTGTGTAAATGCAGGTCTGTTGAGGAACGTCCTCAGTTGATGGTGAGCACGTCGCTCTGGATCTCATGGCTCAGCTGAGTCTGCAGGTCGCTCAGCTTCTTCTTCAGGACAGCCAGTGCTGACATGACGATGGTCTCCGGTCGCAGAGAGCCACATGACTCCACGTTGTAATAGAACCTGTGTGCAGGGGAATGTCTCAGATGAGCTGTTGCACTTCTGACACTTACCCTCTGCTTTACTTTTAGCAGATTATAATTCAAAGACATTGTTGTCTTAGATTTTTTTTTACAAAAACGTATATACTGTTTTTGTTTTTGGTATTATATTATTACACCTTCGCAACAAATTCAATTGAACGTGGGAGATTCTTTTCTCACCTTTCTGGCTTTCCATTGGGGTCATAAGGAGCCTGAACCTCATCCTCTTCAATCTCTGAGTATTCACTCTTTGGCCTGAGAACAAAGTGATTTGCAACATTTATTCATCTTAAAGTCATCTTTCAACGTTATATATTTAACAATAATCCTTAATGAAGAGCCACACTGAAATGAAAACATACCACTCCTCGGGTCGTGGGTAGACTGTGTGTCTCAGTGCGTTGTCAGGGTCGTACTCAAAGGAAACCCCCGCTGTGGGGTTCCATTTGGCGTGCTCCTTACCAAAGCCTTTCTTGGCGTATGCCCTGAGCCGCAGTTCCTGACCTTTACGAAGCTTCACCAGTAAAATGTCTATGTTGTGTCAGGGAGGAAGTGGAGGAGGAAGGAAAGGTAAATGTTTAAAATGCTGTATAAAATGGTAGACAAACAAAATTATTTGACAAAGACAAACCCATAACAGCCAGTGTAAAGACACCTATAAGCTTACCATCTTGTTCAACATAGTCGTTGGGATCATTGTCTCGACTTCTGGAAGTCACCTAGAAAGCCCAATGAAAAAGTGTCAGCATTTTCTTCTGCTTACACTCCTCTCTAATGACTTTGATTAAGGAAGAAGAGACTCACTGGGATGACTCTGGGGTTGTTGGACAAAAGGTCGCGTGAGGTAACATGACGTGTCTGGTCCTCGGTACATCGAACATCCAGCGTCAACTCAACAGAACACTCTGGACAAAAGTCATCACAGGTGCAGTCCTGCAGGAGGATCAAAGACACAGACAAAGTCCTCTTGTAAACAAAGTTACAACCGGGAACAAACGCTGCCAGGATCTTGGTATTATATCCCATTATTGAACAAAATATTCAGGACATTTTCAAAGATATGGTTTAGAAAATAAATAAATATTGAATATCTGTTTAGTCTTGAGTTTCAAGTGTGTATTGTCACATCAGCAGTGGTCCCTGATTACTGGTGTTGCATTTAAGGGTCATTGGGCAACCTCACTGATGACTGGTAGAACAGTATACTTACCCTAGAATACTGCATTTTGTCCACAATGTCATCACTTGTGAGAGGTATGAGACCTGACGACAAAGGAAACATCATTGTTGTATATCATATATCATTATCAGACCTCTCTGGTCGTACTGCAACAGTGCATCAAACTGCATTGGAAGTGGATCCTAAACACTTTGATATGTACCAACTCTGTGTGCAATGAACTCATCATGCAGCACTGATGAATTGGCGTCAATCTGGATCCAGTCAATTGCTGCAAATAAAGTAAAACAAGTACAAGTTAGTCATTTCCACTTTTTTTGTGACTACATTCAATGTTGCTCATGCAGTCATACAACTCTCCATCACCATTTCAACTCTCTTCAACCATATTTTGTTGCATTCTCTTCTATGTGACATCAAATAATAATAGGCAGGATACTGTATGATTCAGGGTTAATGATATACATTTGTATTTAGTTGCTGCTTTGAGAGTTGCTGCACTGAACTGGGAGAACTTCACAGAGGACATTAAAACATGCTAGAGTAGGAAGAGCACATCTGTGAGTAATAAAAGTGATGATGTTTAAATTACAATTTAGCTGACTTGTCACAGCAAGAAAGGCACAGGTCAGATACATTTGTTCCCATTAAAGGTCCAGTGTGTAGGATTTACAGGACATATTGGCAGAACTGGAATATAATGTTTATTATGATGTTTTCATTAGTGTATAATCACCTAAAGCTAAGACTTGTGTTTTCGTTACTTTAGAATGAGCTGTTAATTGATAATTGATACAGCATAGTATTGCAATATTTTCGTGTGGCAATATTTATCTATGCATGAATGCCAAGTATTGATTTTTAGGGATGCACGATAATATCGCCACATCATCTATATTGGCCGATATTGGCTTTGAAGTGAAATATCAGAATCTACCAACATGCTTTTTCTTCTTTTACACAATGAATGAATATTACACACACTGAAAAATGTTGTATTTCATGTCTCCATATGCTCGTATGTAACGAGTGACCTGATGAAGAGCTGGTAGGCTCGAAACATTCTCCTTTTATACTATGATGATAGAATAAAGTATATATATATATATATATATGTATTTTTTATTGGGAGCAGCTACAGTGTTGCGAGTCTTTTTCTTTCTTCCATATGCTCGTGGCCATGATAAGAGTAAGCATGCATAATGTGATGTTAATTCCACTACAGATGAGAACTGATGATCACTAAAATTAGGTGGGGAAAAAGTGGATATATTCATATCGGTAATCGATCAAATTAGTTAATACATATCGGCTTATCTGATATTGGCAAAAAATTCCTCTGGCCTCTAGTGAGTCCCACCTGTGTTAGTTACACTTGTGCTCTTCCAGCTGTGGGCTAGTGTCTATTTGCATCTCAAGACAACACAGTGAGTTAAATGACTCCAACATACTGTAAAGCAACAGTACCACATAATAAGAATAATAATTCAAAACAGAGGCTAACACAAAAGTCACTTTACCTATAGTGGCAACTTCTGACATGAAGACACGGCGGATGGAGTTTGCAACCCTAAGAAAGGAGAAGAACAGTTGTTTTCAGAGGTACAGATTGTAAAAGGTAACAGAAATGACACTTTCAATCCTCCATAAACTCCAATGTAACCCACAACAGCAAGTGAATATCAACCTACATTAATGTGACAGTTTAACTTTTACATTAACTAGATTAGTTTACACTATGCACATACACATTAATGTCAAGGATATTCTCAGTTACAAATAGTATTATAATTTAAGCGCGTAGTACCTTTGTGCTGCTATTTAACGTGTAACGTTAATAATGTTATAACTTAAGATGAAAACAATGGCTGCTCTCTGACACATACGCTCTCATACAGACAGACACATAAATTAATACTCACGCCAAATCAGTGTTTTCAATGACAAATTTGACATTTTCGTCTGTCAGTTCTGTGATTTTCACCGTCGGTTGGTTAGCATACGGCATTATTGGAGTTAAATAAGCCTAAAATTGAACGTAAGAGAATCTTCTACACACTCAACTACCGCTGCTTCGGCTCGAAGACCTCCACGGAAGTATTTACTTCCCGCTGATTGGCCAAGAGATGTGAAGACGAATACTAATTGGTTATCATGAAGTAAGGAGGCGGGTCTTCGGTTAATATCCGGGTCACGTTGTACCAGGAAGTTCTTTTTCAAAATAAAAGCGCTCAATGTTGCTTTTGTTCGTTTGTTTTCGACATTATGTGTCTACTTTGATTATTTTTTACAGTCTTTGGATTTGCCCCATGACAAAAATTGCTTTATACATTTTAAAGCGCTTTGTTTGTCCGTGTCTTTTTTGACACAAGTCACAAAGAACAGTGACTTCCAACTGCAAAACTCCCAGAGTTGAACCTTTGTAATGGATGACTGATTTCATAGTAACGACATAATTAAAAAACAAACACATACCTTTTATATACAATATATATATCTACTTTATTTAAGTCTCGGTCCAACAAATGACAGATCACTGTGTCCAAGAGAACAAATAATCTGAGCAGGAGGGTGAATTCTTGGACAGTAAAACAAATCAAGACAAGCCACTTTCTTACACGTGAGCAGAAAGAGGCCTGTAACTATGGCCTGTGACAAATAATAGATTTCCCTTGCTGGATGAAATCCATAATTCAATACCTTCAGACTCAGTTACAGTTAATCAGAAACAAGAGCAAAAAGAAAATTGATCTTCAGCTCATCACACAAGCCAGTCAGTCGGGATCAGAGTGAGAGAAGGATGGTTTCCATCATCGCCTCTGATTCAGTCCTGTCAAGTTCTTCAGCTGTGAAACACAAGACAAACCACATTTTTATTCATACAATTAAACATCTTTACATATTTTTCAAAGAAAATCTACATTCTGTAAAATGTAGAGCCCCTTCAGTGTTACCTGGTTAAAATGTATTGAATGTATCAATCAGTAAAACTCTTTACAAAAGGAGGAGGGAATGATTACTAATGTAGGGGCCAAGTTTTTGAAAAGAGGAGTTGCATAAATGATGAACACGAGGCAAACACTCACTGTAACAGCAGCTCCCATGAGCCCTTGCACCACTGTTTCACCAGTCGACTGCACCTACAGAATGAAGTGGAACACATAACTTGTGACATATTATTGAGAAATTAGGTAATCTAAAACAAGATAACACCTGAGTCTGTTTTACTGCCTTCATTCTGAACTCATTGTAATATGTATCAAAGCATCTTCATCTTTCTCAAACTGATGGGTAAAACTGGTAAACAGAATGATGGGTATTCCTATACACAATAAGTATTAAAAGAAGTCTTAAAACAACTCCTCAGTGACCACACTTCATCTGTTCACCCTTGTGTTAAACCTTTTAATGCTTTATAAGCACTCAACCTGTTTGGCAGTGCGCGCCATGTTGACTACATCCTGAATGCGGTTGTCAAGGAAGCTCCAGGTGTCCTGGAAGTCTGGAGAGGAATCCTGCAGCATCACCAGCTCTGTAGTGTTATAGATGCCCGTCAGTGCTGCCCGTTTGGTGTACCAGTTCATCTACGAAAGACAGGGTTGATACAGAAAGTTCACATCATGCATTTTTCAAAGAGACAAACAAGACTTTGTCATTTTAAACTCAATGTGCCTTACATTACACATACAGCTACAGGTGACATGTACAGAAGAATACACTAAATAAAATACAAGAAAGAGCAATAGCATTAAAAGAGAAGAGAAAATACAATACAAACAGAGGACAATTACATTTTAATTAATTTTAACACTGATTAGTAACAATGATAATTTGTTTACGTCATTTTTGAAGCACGAATGCCAAAAAAATTTCAGGTGTTAAGTTTCTCAAATGTGACACATTACAACTTTTCTTTGTTTACATCATAGTAAACTGAATCTCTTTGAATCTAGACTTTTTGGTCGATACCTGATGACGTCAAACTGGACTCTGAAAAACAAGGATGAACATATTTTTTGACAGTCTATGGACCACATGATTAATCAATTAATCAAGTAAATAATTCTGTTGCATCACTGCAGCACAGTGGTCTTAGTTTACCTTTTTTAAATATCACTGAGGCCACTTTGATGCCACTTTTTTAGTTTGACATGCTGCTTCATGAACTGATAAACTGTAGCTGTGATAACACTTGCAGAAGGGAATGGTTATTTTCCATCCTAAAAAATGGCAAATAACAGTGTATTTTTTTTTACAATTACAACCATTGAAATATGTTAATATCATTCAAATCCTAAAGCTGATGTCACGTTGTCGGAAAACTACTTTTAACATGACTATCAGGCTGTAAAGGAGGCATGAAAAGATTATGTAAGGGGTAATCTACGATGAAGGGTGACTGGAGTTGTAAGACATGCAGATATGCATTTTAGGAGGCCAGCTAATCAGTTATAAGTTATACCCCTGGTTCGTGTTGCAAACAGGGATAGAGTCAAGTGTTGGTGGGGGGGGAGTAACCTGGGAGGTGGCAGGCCTGATATTGTGGGGGTGGTGATGAAAGGGGGACAGGAAGGTATGAGCGGAAGAAGGAGGGACTCGAGGGTGATAGGATCCACTCACGTCTGTGGAACGGTCTCCGGCATAATACCAGATGTCATCCACGAGGGTGGAGAGGTGCTTCAAGCTGTCTGGGATGTTGTGAGGAAGGAGTAGGATGCTCATCGCCTGAGTACACAGACAGAGAGTCAATCATCAAATGCAGTTTCTCTTCCAGACCTGACCTCTGCCAAACAGAGGAGGACACTGAAGTTGACTTTCCCCTGTGCTTGTCATCATGTACGCTATACCTGTGGCCAAGTTTCAATGTAGGGGATGTACATCCTCAGTCTGGTCTCTACAGCATCTCTAAGAAAGTCAGCAGTCTCCTTTGGTCTGCAACACAGTGGCCAAAAGCTGAAATCTGCAATTTTCCATTTGGAGCTCAAACAGTAAAGACGTTTCTACAGCTTCTACAAACAGAAGTTTAGAGAATTTACGCTTTAACCATAGAATTAAACTGCAGATGTTTGTGTGTGTGTGTGTGTGTGTGTGTGTGTGTGTGTACACGTACTCGGCCTGGCCCAGCTGGACCTGGTTGTGCTGTTCAGCCAGGATCTCGGTCAGCTGTGAGTTGCACTGGGCAATGAAGTGTAGGACCAAGTCTCCGGCTCCTTTATAGAACATACCACTGGAAGCAGAGGACAGGCCCAGTGTCTGGTACAAACACAACACACAAACACAAACAAACAGGTAACGCAACATTAGCCAAATAAGTTGCAACAGCGCAAGCAGAGACAAAACATCACTTCATTCTGGCCATCTAATAACCTCAAAAGAGGAGGAGGTTGAGAATGTGAAGCCTCCTTGTGGCCAGGAAAAAGGGGAAAATATAGAATGCCAATTTTGCGCTCTGAACGTGTGCTCTAAAGCTAATTCACTTCTGTACGGCAGCTCACCTCAGCAGCGGCTGCGATGGCTTCCATTGACCAGCCGTGCTGTGGGACAAACTCCAGAGCAGCCGTCAGGATTCGAGCTTGAAGCTGCTCCTCCGTTTCATATTCCTCCCCATGCTCTCCGCTCTGGTCCTGGTAACTTTCCACAGGCACACAGAGAGGGCATAAATGAAGCACTGAGAGAGAAAACATGGCATGAGCTGAAGTCATGAAGAGCCACTTGCATCTGTTTGAGTGTCAGTCAGTACCCAGAAATCCTCTAAGGTGAGGTCAGTCAGCAACACAGAATTAGTGCTGTAACAAAAGTTGTCCCCTCTCACATGCTGAAAATGTGTGACTTCATCCCAACATCCCATCTGTGAGCTTTAGGCTCTTTAATTAGAAAGAATTCTTTGAGTCTCCAGTTGCAAAAGTAACAAGGAATTTCTTAATCCAGTCAGCTATTGCATTGCATGACAAACATGCATAACACTTACCATACACTAGAAGACTCTGAAAAGACTTAAAATCTGACACCCTCTCACTTCTAACGACAATGTGAGATTTAAGTCACACACTAAGATTTTGCAAAGACTGGCAGTCTTGCAGGGTCACAATTTGCAAAACTGCAACTGGATTTCTTTTGAGATTATCTCCCATCCTGCTCCTGGTGGAAAATATTACACCAAACTCCCTTTAAAAATTATTTATTAGAATGAATAATCCCTTACATGTCCACAAAAACACATAACTCTAGAAACACAAGATAAAAGGCGTCATATATCGACTGTATTCTTGTCAATTTGGCACTGATATGACCTATAAAGATAAACTGTATTTGTGTACAAACTTTACATTTTTGATTTTGTCATCTCAACTTACTATCAGCCTCCGCTGATTAGCAATTTCAGTGTGATGAGACTGTGGAAATGAGAGGTCAACTATTTTAGAAATTAAGATTTTTCACTAAAATAAGTTCTGAAATGCTGAATTAAATACTGACTCTTGTTCACTCCACAGTTTCTCCTCCTTCTAAACAGCACATGAGAACCAAGACTTTTACATTTTCCATGTCTACCCAGTTTGCTGCTTCTTGTTTGGTGCTATAGAGAGTGCAGCTATTGGTTGTTAACAATGTTCACATCATTAAACTTCAGTATCTGCATGTGACAGGAACAAAAACATAAGAATTATTTTAAATTCATTTAAATTAATTACTTGTCTTAAATTAAATAATACTTATCAAGTTTGGTTTTATTGGAATGTCAAGACAAGAAAAAGACACTTGTATCTCAAGTCTTTGTATAGACTGACCTTGTGTTTGGCTCGGCAGCCTCCTCAGCAGCTGGGTCAGGTGAGCCTTCCTGGGAGGCTGCTGCTGGTTCCTGTTCAGCAGAGTGAGCCTGGTAGTGCTCATTGTAGGTTGTGGATGATGATGATGATGAGGAGGAGGATGAGGAGGGGGGTTTGTCAGATTTGGATTCATCCTGAAGCCTCAGTGCTGCACGGTGGAAGCCTCGGCTCAGGCTGCTGCGTTGGGGCTTTGCTGCTGTCGGTGCAGCCACCACTGTTGGGAGAAATATATATTTATTAGCTTCTAAGTATTTGGTTCGGAGAGAATGTGACCAAACTCTATTATGAGATGTCACATTTATATTTCTACCAGCAGCCTGGGACACTCTTCTTTGGAAAATGCTCCAGTTCTCGGTTTTGAACGCAGCCTTCTGCCTACTGCTGTTTGCAGATCTCCCCAGATGATTGACTGGAATCAGACCAATTTCTGGCCACTTTAGAACAGTCTAATATTTTGACCTGAATTATGAGGAGCTTTCAGGTCAAAATTTATTTTTAAGCACACTCAGCCGGAGTGATTTTAGCTTGTCTAGTTGTAACAAAATTCAGTTGGGCTTTTTCAAGTGGTGACTTCTGGACCGTTTTTGTGATGTTACCAATGAATTAAAGTTTAAACTGTTGTACGCTGTGTGGATCTGTCTGGCTGTTGCTACAGGCAGCTTTCTTCACCATATATACAATCCTTCTCTGTAGTCCTCCATCAACCTTTCTCTCATGCCTCACATTCTAAATGTCTTTGTGTAGACTGGATAAGAAACATTTCGATCCTGGACAGACATCTAGATATTTTTGTAAACATATTTTTTATTTTTCCTACAACTTTTATTGTGAATTGCCTTTCTTTCTTCTCCTCTAATTGTGTCCAGTGTGTCCAAAATTGTTTTACGTCCTGTCTGTGCATGTAGATTTGCAGTGTAATAATGTTTATAATCAGTAATTTCTTCGTGACGTCTGTATAACACCAAGGAACATGAATATGCACATCATAAACTTCAGTCAGTCACCGGAATCTGATTTCCCCATGTGGGTCTTGATGATGCACAGATAACTGCAGGATGACGAACGCCAAAGCTGTCCAATTAACGAGTTGCCTGTCAGTCAATATAACTTTATGAGCCAGGAATAAAATGCAGCTGTGTGCCATTTTCCCTCTGGTCCAAATGAACCGAGCTGCAGGAGTGAAAGCACCCTGAGTGCAAAGGACAACATTTGACAGCTTGCATAACCAGAGAAGAGACGCCCCCCAGTTGCTGTAAGGTGTTTCTCTTGAAGTGCATGCTTGAATGCCGAGGTCTTAAGAACCATAGCAGCACGACGACCAACCGTCTAATAAGATAGTTTTGAAAGCCAGCAGTCGATAAAATGTTGCTCAATTGTGTCCTTCATGATCGCCGTTTGTGACCGACTTTGGCACGGATAGCTAACGTCAACACTTGCTCGTCTCAACGTCATACAACAAAAAAATTAAAGAGTGAAATTCAGCTCAGTGAATAATTTCCCAGGCAGTCCACTGTACACACATGACAGCGACAGTACAGTAGTCTTGTCTTACCGCTGCCCAGCCCCCGAAGTGCCCTTCCAGCTCGCAGACCTCTCAGCAGCACCGCCATGTTCAGCTGCGCTGGGCTGTTTTTTTGGGGCACAGTTGCGTCACTTAAGCGCGACTCTGGTGTGAAATACAAACTATAAAGTTAGCAACAATAAGACTGAATATAAATTGTCGCTGTTTATTTCATGGGTTCTTATGAAATGTGCTCTGCTATTTGTACAGTGCTGCTGCTCCTGTTTTAATGTTTTAATGCTGCTCCTGTTTAAACTGCAGTTAAAATTAGCTAAGGTGGCTAAACTGGCACATTTACTGAGATGTCTATTAATGCATACTGTCCCTGTAACTTTAAACTGTATGACTAAATGAACAAATATCTTACCAACTGACGAATTAAATAAATAAATAGCGATTTATATAAAATAAAGGGAAGGAAGGACGCTGCCTTCAATCTAAAACACATGAGAAATGGTCTATTTCAATAAATGAAAAAAACCCAACTATAACAAATGGGGATATGCATTTTTGTGTTTACACTATTATAAGTAAGTCCTTAAATATATAGCCCACATTTTTACCGAATGGCCAAAATGTTATTAAAATCTATGGTCACGGCACACTGAAAATGATTTTATTTTTGAAAATTCAAACCGGAAACACACTTTGTGTAACTTGACAGTGAACTCTCCAGTGAGGTAACGTTGGGTAAGTCAGTACGTAGGATTGTAATTGTCATTTCATTAATTTAACCATCAAATGCGTTTAGGAACACTCAGACAAACATATGAGTATATTTTGTTAGTGGGCAGCCATGTACCGGACTCTACCAGTGTTAAAATGCGCTTATAAATTAAATAAGAACCGGCGTTTTCTGCGTCACACTTGCTTTTCACCTGAATCAACAAACAAGCTAACCCGCTAACTAGTAGTTAGTGGGTTAGCTTACATGTAGACACTTTTACAATGTAAGCCTAAAGCTGAAATAAACACCACATATTTTGTTTGTGTATTTTAACGGTATAGAAGTATGACTATGGTAAATGAGAGTAGTGAGAACCTGCCAGACTATTGCACCTTTCATCGTTAAACGTAATGTCATTCTTTTAAAAACAATGTAACACTATTTTTTTATTACAGTGGATTAGCAATAAACGGCTATCTGCGCTGGTATTATGATAACAAACGCAAATAATCCCAAGGTCATATGTATTTTTTAAATGGGATTGACACAGTCAGCATGAGGCCATTTCTATATTTATGTGCTTATAATACTACATGATAATGGTGGTAACGTTGCTTTGTTATGCGTTTGGTCATTTCCGTTGGTCTGGCTGTATTATCTCCAGTAACAGACACGTGTCTTCACTTTCAGATGATCCACAGAGAAAACAGAGAAGCCATTTTGTAACTATAACAACTTCAGTAAATCAGCACTTCTCTTCAGAAGTCATGGCAGACCTTGGCATCAAAGCAGGAGACAAGGTGATGATGGTTTGGACTCAGCCCTCATCACCAGGAGCTCTGAAACAGCATGCAGAGGAACTGGGTGCCATTGTTGGTCCGGACAGCAAAGTGTCAGTGGAGAACATGGACAGATTATTGCTGTGTGAGTGACTCGTTACTGGATTACACTGACAAAACTTTTATGTAACAAAAGTGAAGTACGTATAACAGTTATTATACATGGCAAAGTCAGGAGTAAAATAATCCTCTTCTCTCCTTAGCCTCCCATCCAGCGTCCACCTTTGACTGGGTGCTTTCTTGCCTTCTGGCTGATAGCTCCTCCATCCACAATTCAGAGACTCTAGAAGAAATGGCCAGAGTGCTCAAGCCTGGTGGGAAGCTAATTCTGGAAGAAGCAGTCACAGGTGAAGTATTATTCTGACTTATTTGACACACTGAAAATAAAAGAGAAAACCAACATTAAGTTCATCGTAAGGTGTGTTCCACCGTCAGATCAGCTTCAGTGCACCTTGGCATTAATTATATAAATCTCTGGAGCTCCAGTGGAGATGAACACCATCACTCCAAAAGATATTCCTTCATTTGGTGGCAGTGATGGCAGTGGAGTGGTGTCTGACATGTTGGCCCAAAATCTCCTATAGGTGTACAGTTGCACTGAGATTTGGTGACTACAAAGGCTATAGCATTTGATTCACATAATTTTCATACCCCTCCACCCATTCATTGACCTCTCATGCGCTGTGAATGGGGGCATTGTCATCATGAAAGACACCATTCCCATCAGGATAGAAATGTTTCATCACAGGATAAAGGGGATCACTCAGAACAACTTTGTATTGATTTACAGTGACTCTTCCCTCTAATGGGACAAGTGGACCCAAACTATGCCAGCTCAATGCCCCCCACAGCATAACAGAGCCACCACAACCCATCACTTTAGGGGTCGATCATTCAGGTTTTTCCTTTTATTTGTCACCTGTCTGTAGATGTTTAATGTCTGAAAATGATGCCTTTCTGGAAGGAAAATAGACGATGGAGATGGAGTCACCTGACACTCACATGGCAACATATTTTAGAAATGCGACACGGCATTATGTGTAACAAGATACAATCCCCTAAAAAAACAAATGTATTGTTACTCATCTATGAATGTTATTTATTTCCTCTTCAGATGTCTTTATCCAAAAGGTCACTGGTCTGCGCTGATAAGGTTGTGACTCTACTTGTGTTGTGTTTGACTTGTTTCTGTCTGTGTTCAGGAGCTGAGGCGCAGAGTGTGAGGACTGCTGAGAAACTGATGTCAGCTCTGAAGTTGTCAGGCTTCATGTCAGTGACAGAGGTGCGTGAGTGGTAAATGATTGTTGTTCAAATAAGTTATCTGCATTTGCACCTTTATACATTGTGCACTAGAGGGGGAAGTTGCATGTACCAAACCACAATGTACAGGCAAAAATAAAAGAAATGTAATCCTGTGATCAACCACATAAAATAAATCAAAAATCTTACATCAGGTGGAGAAAACATCTGCACCAGTGAAATCCTGTTGCAAAATGTCTCCTTTTTAATCATTGACCCTCTTGCTTTCTCTCCACCCAGGTCAGTAAAGCAGAACTCAGTCCTGAGGCACTGAGCTCCCTCAGGATGGCCACTGGTTACCAAGGAAACACTCTGTCTAGAGTCCGCATATCTGCCTCCAAACCCAGCTTTGAGGTGGGATCATCCAGCCAGATTAAACTGTCATTTGGGAAAAAGCCAGGTGGGTTTATAAGCATTTTAAGTGTATTTTTGACAAAACTCTATGTGTATTATCCCAATTAAAATAACTGATTGTCCAAAGGGGGGGACAACAAATGGTCAAGAAAAACATATAGATAACCAGTCATATCTTGCACACATGAAATGACAAACATAGCTCTACAAATGTGTGTACATGATGTCTTTTCCATCACTTTTTGTTTGTAGAGATAGTTGAGATTGCACCTAAGTTGTTGACCAATATACATAAAAATGTATGTCAGCTTAAATTAAACTGTGTGCAGCTGCTTGTGGAGATGCAGCTGACAGCTAGTCATTTGCCACATGGACATGAAGCTTTGTACTGTACGCACATCGTTAATTTCATACAGATTTGTGTCTAGGACAGTCAAGTGCAAGTTTGTAAAACAATACTATAATTTCTGCTTTCTGGGATTCATGTAGTCGTGGATCATTTCCTCTGTGCAACTGACCTTAAAGTCAGTCCACAGCTTCACAAGCCCAAGATGCAAAAACTGATTGAAAACTGAATTTATCCATTATCTCATGTTTATTGCTCATCAGTGAATTGGAAACAGGTGTGATCCATCACAAAGTGGATCTCAATCATCTGATACGACTAAAAATTATCTAAGTTTATTGATTTGAGAGGTTTAACTACAGAGCAAGATATGTGAACAAATATTGAGGTTCCTTCTTTGCTTTTAAACTTATTTTTTGTTTCAGTGAACATAATTCTGTGTGATTTTGAAGTTGCATATTTGTATTTTCTCCTGTAGCTTCAGCCGAGAAACCTGCTCTGGATCCCAACACTGTCAAAATGTGGACACTGTCAGCCAATGACATGGATGATGATGATGTGGTGAGTTATGGATTTTGAATCTTTGTGTCCTTACAGATGGACTCATTAAATACAGTTTGGCCAGCTCAGTAGGGAGCAACACATTTTCTTTTGACCACAGCACACCACCTAACATATTGTACTCATAAATGTTACACACACATATTTCCTTCTTAGACTGTCAATGCATATGTCGTTCTGTACACTGTGCTGTCTTCATTTACAGAGTCTTTCTTGTCCCTTCTGTTCCTCTTCTCTGTAGGATCTGGTGGACTCTGATGCTCTCCTGGATGAAGATGACCTGAAGAAGCCAGACCCAGCTTCTCTTAAAGCAACCAGCTGTGGAGGAGCCGCCAAGAAGAAAGCCTGCAAGAATTGGTAAGGTCAACACACAAACATTTTTAAACCATAGACAAAAGCATGTGGTGGATTGTAGCTATAACAGGAGTTTTAGAAAATGTTACATTTTGTACCTTTATCCATGAAAAGCATGTAAACATCACATGACGAACTGTATGTTGTATGTTTGTGTAGTTCCTGTGGTCTTGCTGAGGAGTTGGAGCAGGAGAGCAAAGGAAAACAGAAGACTAGTCTACCGAAATCTTCCTGTGGAAGTGTGAGTATATTTTGTCTTATATTGTTAAATGTCAGCATTTTCCATATTACCTCTCCTGACATGCCAACCTGTAAACAATGTGAAGAAATTCTTATTTTACTGATCTCCATTTCCTCGTATGGCAGTGTTACCTTGGCGATGCGTTCCGATGTGCCAGCTGTCCGTACGCAGGGATGCCAGCATTCAAACCAGGAGAGAAGATTGTGCTGGACAACAAGACGCTGACTGATGCTTGAAACACTGATTTCACTCCCCTACCGTTCATGCTTCAGAGTTTTACATTCCTTTCTTTTCCATCCACACTGAGATGCAATGCAAAAAAACAGAGTTGAAATCTCTGCGTCTTCAGTGGAGCACATTGCAGATGTGATGGGGATTTCAGCCTGTTTGTCCGCTCAGTGAGATGGCTTCTATTTGATGCATTCATTGTTT